TTCTACTGGCTGAAACCACGTGATATGCTACCTTATAATTTAAGGGCTTTGCTTGTTCCTGTGTCTTGTAGTTTGTAAATACTTGTTTATAGCTTAGTTCTTATGCAAATCCACCAAACTGGATTAACATGAAATGTGAAGCAATGTCAAGCAAAATATGGCTTAGGATAATTTGTGAACACTACTGTGATGTCTTAATGCAGCGTGCCAACCCAATAATGTTTACAGTTTGATTCTGGAAATTCAGACAAGTGAAATGAAATTCAACTGGGATGAAGCCTTGGCAGCTAGCCATGGGCTTTCTGAGGGTCTGATGCCAGATCACTACTTTTGCAGATCTCTCTGTCTGGATTGGTAGACTCTGCTCCATAAGAGGAGCAACCACAAATTGCTTTATTTCAAACTTTCTTAGAAGCCCTTTTATTGGTTTTTACCTCTGGGCTTCTCATTACCGGCTCCACTACAGCCAAGGCAAGGCTTTTCATTTCCCACAGCCTCCCTTGTGAGAGGGTTAAAATGTCCAAACGCTAAAAGCTTCTACAAGTCTCCTCTACCCTTGCCTTCCTCTGAAGCAAATTGGATTCTTTCCAGCATGAGCTTTAGAAACAGAGAAGGCTTTGTGTGGGAAGCCACTCTCACCCAAGGCTCACAGTTTTAACACTGGCACATGATCCTTGGAGGAGAGTTTGTCCCACAGGAGCTGGATCATCCACAATCAGCTCTCTGCTGCCACTCTTATTTCCTTCTGGTGCAGCTGATCAGACTATTGGGGTTGGGGGTTCTGAATTCTCTCTACGACAAGGAAGAGAACCATATGAGATTTGTGTTTCCATATAGAGTTCAGGTGGGCATCCTGCTTAAAGCATCAGTGAATGGTACCTTGGTTTTATCTGGCAGCTTCTTCAGCCTTGATCTTCCAGTTGTTTATACCCAGAATCCTCACCCAGCATGGAGGAAGAGTCTTGCTGGCTAGGAATTTTGGAAATTACAATCCTTATGTGTCTGACCATTCAACTACAGTATATTGGAACTGAGAATCTGGAAGCACAGACTACAGTATTTGGTTCCAGAAGGGGAGGGGTGTTCAATGAAGCAAGCGCCACCATAGTATACAATTCCTTCAGTCAATTATCTGATCCCAGGGACTGGCATGTCCTGAGTTCCAATTGGTTGGTCCATTGAACTAATGCAATTAATTATAGAATGGTCTCATTTTACACCTTTGATAGCAAAATCAAAAACCTTGCTGGGACCAGAATTGTACCCAGGTATTGTAAGTTACGTACTGGTTGAAGGATGCTTTCCTCTTTCTTGACCAAGAACCTTAGATCCCTGAGGTTCTGCACTGTGATCCATATATCCTTCCCTTGTTCATTGGGCATTAGATAAAGAGGTCATCCAAATAGGACTACACATGTATTCCCAGGGATGTGAGATGGCTTATGATGGTCGTAATCGCTTTTATGAATTCTCTGGGTGGTGATCAGTGGTAGGTTGCTCCCGGTTTGTCCGGTTCTTTAGAACCAGTAGTAAAAGCGGCGGGAGGCTCCGCCCACCCATCCGGACGTCATAACTGACAATCTGTGCAGGCACAGAAGTGTGTGTGCGCGCTCCCGTTGCGAACCATTAGTAAAGGTAAGTAGAACCCACCCCTGGCGGTGATGAGAGACCATATGAAAAGGCCTTGTCCTAGTAGTGGGCACCATGGTGTTTGAATCTTAAGAATTTCCTGTGTGTTATAGCAAATAGGACATGAAGATAGTTTGGTAAGTCCAACAAGATCAGTTTCCTCTTTCTGAATGCATTTTATGAAGGATCTCAGGGTTTCCACTTGAAACCTGTAATAATTGATGTAGTAATGCATTATTTAGAATCCAGGGTGGTGTCCCAGTCTGTGTACTTCTTGAGAATAATGAAAAAGCATACAGTGTGAAAACTGACACCACCATTCAGTCACGCAGATACTTAAGAGGTGATTTATAGCTTTCAGGACTATTAAGTATTTGACCAATCTGCATGGCTAGAGACGTGTGAAGATGGAAAAGGTGGGGGGAAGAGTGTTGTTGGTCTACTCTTGTAAGATAGGCTTTGGCTTCCATTTGTCTGATATGGATCCATAAGTGGATAAATTTAATTACCTTCTTGCTCATTCAGAAACTTAGTCATTGTTGTTTGTGTCCTCTCCTTTTGTGAGTAGGGGCAAGCATTTCCTCAGACTGGGATTGAAATAGTATGGCAAGTTCAGAGATCTCTTCTCCATCCCCTCCCAGGTGTTCCATTGTCTTCTAACGATTTGTTTTGAGTGCAACAGGAACAAAAATAATAAGTGGCTTAGCCTGATGTCTTCTGCCCTCCCAATTTTAATTTCATTGATTAAATACAGGACTTTCTTCTGATATTTTGTCTCTTACTAGAAGATCCTCTAAAGCAGGGGTCTCCAATCTTGGCAACTTTAAGACTTGTGGACTTCAACTCCCAGAATTCCTCAGCCAGCTTTGAGGGATTCTGGGAGTTGAAGTCCACAAGTCTTAAAGTTGCCAAGACTGGAGACCCCTGCTCTAAAGTCTCTCTAAACAGCTTTTTCATCTTTGAACAGGTCAGATTTTGACTTCAAATAAACAATTTAGAACCCTCCATTGGGTCACAGGCCAGTCCCTAAAATTAAACTTGTGAATGTCATTATTTATCTCCACTTAATCTTATGTTGGGACCTTGGGTGTGTCTTCTGGGATGATTTTGTGACATTCAAAGAGCAGTTTGTAAAAATTGCCAACAAGCTGCTATAACATGTTGATGTTTTGGGCCTTTTTAAAGATTATCACATTCTCTATCAAATTTGTGGAGGCTGTACAGCAACACAGCAAATGTTCTGAATATACAATATACTGAAACACATCTAATGTTCTACAACAACAACAATTCTAAGGAGATGTGTTAAAAGTTGGGTTTTGTCTAGATTCTATTAAATTTGTTCCATGTCTTCATCCAGAGTTGGCCACCATGCCTCCAGTTTAGAGGTGGACACTATCTAAGCTAGCCAAGAAGGTGGTAGCATTGATCAGTTTGTTTGTCTTATCTGAATGTATTATGATTATGGGTCTTTTAGCCATAGACTAGAAGCCCAGACAGAGACAGATATAGTGTGACGTCTTTATGGCTAAGCTATGGCTGTGTGAGCTCTACAGTGTAGTAAATCTCTATCCTATCCTCTGAGTGCTTGGGAGATTTTCCCCATCCTTGTATACTATGTCCCTGTGACTAGTCCTGCTCCATGAGCATCCAATGGAGTAAATTGAAGATTAACTATGAAGAGTTGGTGGTGCTGCATTTGGAGACCTGCCTTAGGCTCAAGGGCCAGCTTTGGATTTTTTAATTATATCTAAATTGTAAAAATATCTCAATGATTGAAATTTATGTGCCAACTGAACTCGGATAGCTTTACCTCTGGGCATGTATAAGGCTGAACAGTTCAACAACTGTTGTGATGATAAGAAAAGACTTTTTATCAATGTTTATTGCAGCACATATGTGAACAAAGTGCAACCATAAGTGATATAAAAGTAACTAATCTGAGGTGTTGTGGCAAACATTTTCTCTGAATATATTTTATTTCACAAAATGGAGACAGGGCAGTCTAAAGAGAATACTACATTAACAGAAGTTAAGAGCAGTCAGTTCAGTAGGAACCAATCTGAGACGACCACTGGGACCAGAGGTTTCATCTTCCGAGCTTTCGGACTCATGCTGGAGCCCATCCTCAGGGAACTTCTCTCTCTCACCAGAATGACAGAGAAGTTCCCTGAGGATGGGCTCCAGCTTGAGTCTGAAAGCTCAGAAGACGAATCCTCTGGTCCCAGTGAGCGACCCAGATTGGATACTGTAACATTATCCTGGGACATGTATATTTGCCTTTATTTGTCAGTGTAGTAGAAAACTGAAAGGAAAAAAAGATGTTTTGTGTAATTTGTGTAATTTTTAATTTCTGGTTCAGTAAAGCATTTTCCCCCCAACCTGATGGCCTTCAAAAATGTTGAATTATAATTTCTCTCATTCCCATCCTGAACAATTATATTGACTGAGAAGGGATAGGGATTATAGTCTACAATCTGCAATGTCCCAAACTGAGAAAATCTGTCCTAAAATTGATGCTATCCATTTGCAGAATTATCGGTCAGCTAGAAAATCCTGGTTTTTCCAAGTTGTGGAAAATTTTAAAACAACTGCTTGATATACTCTTCAATATGCACATTATTTAAAGGGTAAGCACTGAATTGTATATTCACTGCTTACCCTTTAAATAATGTGCATAATGTGCATATTGAAGAGTATTGTATATTCAGTATAATGATTAATCCAGCTGTATCCATGATTCAGCTACATCCAAAATGAGGGATTGAGGAAACCTGTCTGGCAGAATTGAATGAAGTTCCCTCAGGAACTTCCAGGTAGAGTAGCCGGAGGCAAAATGTGTGTCCAAAATGTTATGCCTCACTCCTCACAAGCAGCCGTATTTCTCATTTGCTTTGGTAGACTCCCAAATCCCTGACTATACATTCCCAGGGAGTTTACACTTCCTCAAATTACAGGACATACCACTGGCCCTGAAAAACAACTCGTTCTCCAGATGCCACCATACCAAGCCAGAACATGCCCACGCTAATTTTCTTTGCAATAATGCCCCTCTACCAACTGTTGTCTCTCTTGGGTATGAACTGAAGGGGAATTAAAAGGCATGAATTGTCCTCTGCTGGTGAAAACTGGAAATTGGCCTGAAGATCTTTATTTTAGCATTTGCAGCTTGGAATGTAATGTTTTCTTCTAAGCAAACGTTTGTCATTCACGATAGCTGCTTTCTCTTTTTAAGACTTGGGTTAATTCAAAACCAGCCCAAATTAGAAGCCCCTAAATCCTTTCAATTGATAGCAAACCTCTGGGCAAGTATCCAAAGGATGTCCCCAGCTGCTTGAATATTCCATGAGAATTATGCTTGTATGCCTTAGTCAAGAGACAACTTTTAATAGGAAAAGAACCTGCCCTGTGAGGCATCTACTAGATCAAAGCCTCAGGCAGCCACTGAGTAATGATTCAAGAAGACTTCAGTTATCATTGTGTCCCTCAACTGGAGTCCTGCAAAAGATGAATCAATTAAAGGTGATTTAATGACAACTAACAATAGGAAAAATGCTATAGAAGTTTGAAAAAAAACTAGTTAAGCTATTCTGAATGTACTGGATTTAGGAAGTATACAATAGGTACATTGATGTATGTGCCTAGATGACCTTGGATCAATTACTCTCAGCCCAAACCTCACAAGGTTATTGTTGTGGTGAAAATATGAGGAGGAAAGAACATTAGGTATGTTTGCAGCCTTAAGTTATTTATAAATAATAAAGGGATAAAAATCTAATAAAATAAAATTGATGCTTAATATGTGTTTCATATTTCCTCCTTCCTTTGAAGCAAAATGTCATGAATTTCAGTCCAAAGTTCTTCTTTATCTTCACTGTATAACTGAATATCACTCAGGTCGTATCTATCTGATAATTTGGGGAAGGGGGTTGTATTCCTTTCAAGTTGTAAATTTGTGAGATGTTTTCCTTGATCTGAGTGAAACTCAGCATCTGCTTTTGCTGATTGAATAAAGGTCTTCCTTCTTTTCTTGCTGTTATAATCAATTTTGTATATGGAGATCCTCAGTCATCCAAGTCATGGTTGTCCCAAAGGTGCTTTTTTCAAGAGGCAACTGGACTTTCTGGTTTTTCTTTGAAGAGGTTTCGTTTCTCATCCAAGAAGCTTCAAAGAAAACCAGACAATCCAGTTGCCTCTTGAAAAAGCACCTTTGGGTATATTCAATTCTATTTCTTTGGTATCCATCCAGTGATGCCCATTTGTAAATCTGCCCATCTTTTAGGCTGTTTTGAAAGATACTATTTGCTATCTAAATTTCCTCATCAGAACTCTGTTAAATAGTCTAGCTTCATTTGTGCAGCAAAGCCAAACTTACCCATTCTTCCATATATTATTTTAGTTTCACTTTAAACACACTACTTTTCCATAATCAACATAACATCTTTTGTGGTGTTGTGTTGGCAAGGTGTGACAAGTTGCAAAGAGCTTTTTTGACTTCTGCTTCCTCTGCAGCTGTGGTTAGAGCACGAATAAAATAGAAAACATTCAGTTGCCCCCACTCCTGGATTAGGGAGGCTTGCTCTCAGTCAGTCATGCCCTTCTGAGTTCAAGCCTGGATTACTGTAATGAATTCTACACATGTAGAATGCAGTGGTGTGGGATATTAATGGTGTCGATTATTCAGCACATGATACCACTGCTCCACAAGCTGCATTGGCTTCAACTGTGTTTCCAGGTACAATTCAAGATGCTGGTAGCCACCTTTAAAGTCTTTCATAGCTTGGGACCAATTATTTAAGGAACCATCTCTTATTGGTTGTTTCTAGCTGTCCTAAATTAGGACAACTGTTGTATCCATCTGGCAGGAGGAGAATTGGTTGTCAGCTGGCAGGGTCCAGCAGGAAAATCTTTTCTGTTGTGGTGCCTACCTTTTGGAATATCATATCTCTGAGATCAGGTTAGCCCCAGTCCTGGTAACCTTTTGCAAGGTCTTGAAAACTTGGTTTTGTGCCCGAGCTTGGGGCCCCAGGTATGGGACAGAGCCTGTCTCCTGACTACATGAATGATGATTTGTATAATTCCCAGCTGTTCCTTTTTATGGTTTTATTTTATTGAAAGCTATCCAGTTGTTTGTAAAATGTGTGGCTGTATAAATTGACTAGCTGGATACCCGTGCTTCACTATGAAACTATGTGATCGGGCTTGATAAATCAACACTTACAGCTTGAAAATTAATGAGTAGTTATGATCGGTCTCTTCTTTCTCCCTCAGCCTTGCCACACAGAAGCCTCCCCTATCCTATCCCCTGGTTGCTGCTGTGAAAGTAAAATTGAAAGTGAAACTCCTCTGCTTGTGTTTTGCATTTGGAACAGATTTCTTTTCAGGTGGGAAGGGGGGAGTAGAACTTCTTAGCATCAAAGCATGGAACAGATTTCAGGTGGGAATGGGGAGTAGAATTCCTTAGCATCAGAGCGTGTTAATCATAATATAGGAAATACTAATGCTCTGATGGTCATTTCAAAACATCCTTTCTTAGTGAGCACCTAGAAGCCAAGAGGAACATACGTGGCAAGTTTCAAGTTTGTAGGCTTTACGGTTCTGGGGATTTCGTGATTACGGCGTGAGTGGTTTTCGCTTTTATATATATAGATTAAACAAATAAATAGACTTGGATCACCATAATACTGATTGGTTTGCTTTAGATTCAAATTAAGATAATTCTATGACATCAAAGCATAGAATTTGACTCACTTTGGTTAATAATGGCTATTTCATTTTTCCAATAATTTTCGTGTCCTAAAGATCTGCTGTTCCTTTAAAAATGTAAAGTGATTCACCCCAGCCCATTTCTGTTTAGTTTCCCAAAATGTCAGTGTTCACTCTCAACATGACTACTCTGACATCAAATTTTTATTTTGTTTCTTACCATATTAGCATTGGAACTATTCGTATTTGCCCTCTGCTCTTCCTTAATACTTAATGTTGTATTGATTATCTCACCAAATTTCATATAGCTGTTAAATAAAAACTATGCTAAAACATATATTTCTGTGGGAATGCTTTCCAGTCAGTCTTACCTCCTTTTCACCACTACAGAATAGGGATAATCTGTTTGCAGTTGAAGTTCAGATGATTTTCATCAGATGGGTGGGGGGGGGGCAGCAGAAAATGGAGTTGGGATTGCTCATTTTAACTAGATACTGTATAAATTCAACCTATAGTTCAAAGATTACATTAAAGTGCTATGTTATGAGGATTTAAGATTGCTGCATCCTTAATTTCCAGTTCTCATCTATGAATATCCTTAACTTGGAAACCTTTTGCGTTTCAAAACTTTTGAGTTTTGTGATTCTTTACAGGCACAAAACGATTTTCTAAGTAATGATGATTATCTTAGATATTGGAAGGTTTAATTATAAGATACTTCACTTTCATTTACCAAAGTGGAATTTCCATTTTCCACAATCAGGATATCCTTTCCACATGAAGCCATTTGTAATGGTATCTATTTCTGCTATGGTCTTACAAACATTGAAATCTTAACCTAAGAACTCTTTTCCAAGATGAGCACAGTAATGCATTAGCTATCACCCAAAGGTTTTATGTCCGCATCTCTGACCCTCTGGCAGCGGAAAACACATACTCTTTGTTCTGGTGCCACAAGTCAGATCGGAAAGTGAATTTCCCGGAAGGTAATAAATAGCAAACCAATTCTGTATGGCTGCCAAGCAAGCCCTATGAAGGCGATCACGAACCACTGATGACGTTACTTAGTTGGGTAATGAAACGCCTGCAAGAAAACAAGCAAGGTCAGAGAGCACCAAGGACCCCACAATTCAACCCTGCACTAGAAATATTCTCCTTTATTGGGATCACGAAATCGCCTGAGTTGAGCTCGATTCGAAGGGACGGGCGTGTTACCCCACTGCTCAACCCCCCTCGGTGCAGATTTAATATCAAAGCAACGCACGTAGTCTTTCCGACAAGACTTATTCCCATGGCAGCCTCTTCAGCAGAAAAAACAATTGCTACCAACCTGCCTTCCATTGAGGACCTGTATACTGCAAGAGTCAAAAAGAGGGCTGTGAAAATATTTAGACCCCTCACATCCTGGACATAAACTGTTTCAACTCCTACCCTCAAAACGATGCTCTAGATCACTGCACACCAGAACAACTAGACGAACAGTTTTTTTCCCAAACGCCATCACTCTGCTAAACAAATAATTCCCTCAACACTGTCAAACTAGTTATTAAGTCTGATTTACTATTAATCTTCTCATCGTTCCTATCACCCATCTCCTCCCACTTATGACTGTATGACTGTAACCTTGTTGCTGGTATCCTTAAGATTTATATTGACTGTTTCCCTATGACTATCATTAAGTGTTGTACCTTGATTCTTGACGAATGTATCTTTTCTTTTATGTACTCCGAGAGCGTATGCACCAAGACAAATTCCACACTTGGCCAATAAAGAATTCTATTCTATTCTATTCTATTCTATTCTAGTCTATTCTATTCTATTCTATATTCTATTCTCTATTCTATTCTATTCTTCTATTCTATTTCCTATTCTGTTCTATTCTATTCTATTCTATTCTTCTATTCTATTTCCTATTCTGTTCTGTTCTATTCTATTCTATTCTATTCTAATTCCTATTCTATTCTATTCTATTCTATTCCTATTCCTATTCCTATTCCTATTCTATTCCCGTCCGATTCCCTCCAGGACTACAGCTCCCATTATCCTACTCCATGCACTGATCGAGGAAGATAAAAGGCAAACGCTAGCCAGCTCCGCCGAGGGCTAGGAGATCTCCAGCAGGAAAAGAGCCCATAACCTGCCGGTGGTAACTAGCGCTTGGCACTCGGGGCACGCGAGAGGGAGAACCGCGCGCGAGAAAACTGGAGGTCGCGTGGTAATGGAGAGGGGTTGGGAGGAGGAGAGACGCTGAAAAAAGACAAGAATAAAAAGCGGCTTCGGAGCAGACCCGACTGGCCGTGACGCGCCAATCGCGTAACTTAAAAGGCTCCCCTTTGACCCGGAAGTGGAAAGCGGGGAGGGGCGGTGTTTCGCCAGGCGGGCGGAAGGCGGAAGCGGGGGCTTGCCCGAGAGGGAGTGAGGGGGCAAGTCAGATGGAGGAAGAGGAGTGGCGGCGGCGGCAGGACCCCCCCTTCTCGTTGCTAGGTAACAGGACCAGGTAACGTCCCCTCTCGCCTACTTTCTGTGGTGGCTCTTGCGGCCCCGGTTGGGAGATCCCCGTCCACCCTCCCCCTTCTCCCCCGCCACCCCAGTATGGAGCAGCTTTCCACTTGTTTCCTTTCCCCGCTTTCAGCCCTGAAAGGGGCTCTCGGGCTTCTGTTTCCCGTGATCAGCTAATATTGACGTGACGAGTTGCGAATGAAACAACCTTCCAGCCAGGGGCAAGCGACCTGTTGTATTTTGAGGTACCATCTGTTTTCTTCTCTCTCGGGTTGTCTTTGCAGGATGGCTACCAGATGGCTATAACTTAACCTTCATCAAAGCCACAGCAATTCCGGGACACAGAACCACCATGGAACACCTCAGGCCTGGGACTGAAGCTCATTCTGAAGAGTTTCCTGATTTGGGCAAGACTGTTCTGAGCCCTTGCAGCCTTTGTGATGCAGGATGCAGGAAGCAAAATGTCCACTTCCAAAAAGTATTGCTGTTGCAAAGCATCTCCTGGCTAAGAAGAGCTCTTGAGTCTTCGGAAGGCTGAGGTTTTTAAGTCGGGAGAAAAGGTGCGATGGAGACAAAAATGCTTTGGAATGGCAGTTGCGACCGCGATAATGGCAGCTTGCACTTTACTGACTATAAAACTCCCAGTAATGAAACTGGCTCCTGTAACTGTCCGAGAGAGATGTCTGATCTCTCCGCAGCTTATTCAGAGGAAGGGAATGACTTATGCGGCTTCAGTTGTCAGCACTGGCATTCAGGATTCAAAGAGAAGGACCCGTCTACGCTGCTGTTAGGCCAAGAAGTAGATGTTGAAGATGGCCTGGCTACAAAAACCAAGGAAGAAATCCCTGATTGCACTCGGGCTCCTAGCGGAAGAAAAGTTGCCCGGCAACAAAGACAACGCTCTACTCCTAAAGACAAAGGAGATGGTCACTTTGTACCCTCTGGGGGGAAACACAGACAGACTAGGAAGAGGAGTGATGGTGGGCATCATCATGTCCAAGCTGAGTTGCTGAAGCATCTGGAAGGTTTGGCCTCATTCTGCGTTTCTTGCTTCAGACTATTCATCAGTGTAATTGTACAGGTCACCCTCCGGTGTGGTGAAGGGGTGGAAGCTGGTGGGAAGATGCTGTATTCTTGCTGCTTTTTCAGCCTTCATGATTTAAACACCATTCAAACTGACATGCAGGCTTGGATCCAGCGTGGAAGGATAGGGTGTCGAAAATTGACCCGACAGTTAGCCTCATGGCTGTCGCTAACTTACCGCCTGTTTAAGATGCTCTGTGCTATTCTCTTCCTGGTGCTTATGCTTCTCCTGGGTAGTATACGACTCTGCTGGAAGGTTTCCAAGTCAGTCCTACTCAATATTCTGAGTAGAATGACTCATACCAGCTATGGAGCCTGGCTTCTTTCAACTATTGATTTCCCTCAAATTGGGGTCCTCTTCAGAGAATGCAGGATTTGCAAATGGATGGCAAGTCTGCTGCTTAAGTGGCATGCTGTCCTTTGGATGCCCAAAGGATTAAGGACCACCCAATCAGGGAGTACTGCTCAGAATGACTCTCCTGGTGGATCAGGACCCTTCCAGCCTGGCGAAGAGGTGGCACGTTTGCTGGCCATGGCACATACCCCTGAAGAAGAACTCAATCCTTTTCAGGTGTTGGGCTTAGACGCAACAGCTTCCGATGTCGAATTGAAGAGAGCCTATCGGCACTTGGCAGTACTGGTGAGCATGTCTTTCGAACCAAAAAGGTTGACTGGTGATTGGAAGCATGTGTGTTTTTGATGAGAAAGCCTCTGTTTAAATGAGGTGGCATTCCTTTCCCCCCTCTCCTTGTATTACCATAGCAAATAATTGTGACAAGAATTCAGCTCTTCCTCCTCCAAGGATTGAGAATATTGGTGGGGATTGTTAAAGATAGTAGTAGGAGACAGCTCCTTTCTTGTCTGGTTGACATGGTCCAACATTTTCAGGGTTGGGGGAAGATGTCTGGAATATCATGCAGTCTTTCATAGTACAATTGATTAATCTTCACTTATCACTTATTAGCATAGTGACACTATAATTATTGTATTACTTGAGGGGACAAACCTTTGTTAATTTCAACGTAAAGGAATTGACAAATACAATCATCTATAGCAGCAATCTATATCTATAGATCAAGATAACTGACACAAATAGTTTTTCTCCTTGTTTACCTTCTTGGCTATCAAGGGAGCAGGATGTGTGGAAATTTGGTTCAACTTATCTTATCTTCTTGTCTGGAGATGCTGAGGATTGCAGTTCATTTCTCAGCCTGTAAAATTCCAGCCTGAATCTTCAAGGTGTATTGAATGAAAAACCCATTTTTGCTTTTCTCCATCTTTCCTGGCATGAGGAAAGAGAAGGATAAATGAGCTGCTATACTACACCAAGGAGGATTGCAGACTCTGCTTCTGGAATTTGCTAATCTCTCCCATCCCCTAGCTGAAAAACTGCTTTTGACCCCACCCCCCAAAAAACTGTCATTTTTTGTTGCTGGTTGTTGCAACGGATTGACAGAGAACCTTTCTACTTGAACTTCTGAACAGAAATGTTGCCTGTACAAGGAATGATCAGTAAATGAAGCCTGCTTGCTTTGTTTTGGCTTTGTGGTCTGTATGTCACATGGGAGTGAGAGTGACGGCTTTACTTTGCAGGATGACTGTTAGGATTATTGGCAATATATAGGTAGCATATATTTGTCTCAAATGTTTTTAAAAGAAGGGCGTGTCTAACTTCTTTGGGGCTTTGGGATTGGGTGTCACATAGGTTCATCCAGACAAGAATGAGCACCCTCAGGCAGAGGAGGCATTCAAGGTACTGCGGGCAGCCTGGGATATTGTCAGCAATCCAGAGAAGAGGAAGGAATATGAAATGTGAGTCAGCCAAAACCTATTTGAGCTTTCTTTACTCCTAGTCAAAACCACATAGCTATGAAGTTTGATCTGCAGACCGGGACAATGTGGAGAGGTCAGTTTTCAAAGAGATTACTCTATTTAAGGGGACAGAGAATACATTTGAAAATGTGAGCATCAACATTGTCAGGTAGCAACACTTATTGAAACTACTAGATGTTTTTCATTACTTCCCTGAGGTTTTTTTGTCTGCAATGGAAATGCTAGTTATAATACCTGAAAATAATATATTTCCCACAAGCATCTGGTACATATCACCCAGGCAAGTCTTCCTGTGAAAGTTAATTTAGATTGAGTCCCTCGGATCTGTTCTGTTTATTATTCATTCAAGAGCAACAACAATAAAATTGACTAGGCGACATGAGGATTGGACAAGAGTTTGTCCTGTTCGCTGGTCCTTGTTTCACTTCTACTCATTTCAATTTGATGTAAAAACAAGATTTTGGTAATGGCTCTTCCCATATCCCACCCCCCAGAAAAATCTGATCATTCCCTTGCTTGTATGTACAATAAGTATCTGAACCATAGAAGAAAAATATTACAGAAATGATAAGGCACTAGAAATCATAGGATCCAAATTATCTTCTTAGGCTAAAGTGCTTGTAGGAAAGAAAACCCAGGTGATAAGAGAGCACATAAATTTAGAGATCAGGTACTAGATAATATTCTGCCCTGACTCTCAGAACTACTAAATTACTTTGGTTATCAACCTGACTTTTTCTTTTTCCTAAATACTTTCCTTGGGAGGTGATTTTTTAAATATTTTTATTAAAGTTTATTATAAAAATACAACCTGAAACAGAAAGCTAAGAAGGAGAAAAAGAGAAGTGCCAAGGCCAAGAAAAAAGTCATGACTTCCCATTTTCTTTAGTGCAATAGAATACAGGAAAAAAAATACTTAAATATTTTGTTCTGCACTTCTCAACCTTTCAAGCCATTCCTTTAACAGCAAAATCATTCTAGTCAACCCTAACCAGAGGACCTTTATCCCCAACAGCTTGAAGCTAATCATAAGCTGAAGTCTCTTTCAAGTTAAGCTTTATTACTTATGAGCATAGAGACGCCGTGTAGTTTTCATGGTCCAAGTACAGAAGTGGTGTTCCATTGCTATGAATGTTTTTTTTCCCCCAGTTTTCCAATTTAGCTTATATTCCTGGTGCTCCCTGGTGGTCTCCAGACCAAAGAATAATTACAGCAAGGTCAGCCAAGTGCTATTTGGAAATTACTCTTGGCCATCTCTAGGTCATACAGGGGTTCTGTTTAAGAACTCTTGCATAAGTCCCTTTTTGTGTGCATCCAGATGTGTAGTGCTTGCCTGCACAAAAAAATCCTGTCGTTTTGGGACTCCTTGCTTGAGGTCAGGCTAATGTAAATCAGGGCTTGTGTAACCTGGGGGCTCCCTGTATGTTGAAATGGTTTCGATTTCTAGTACATGTGCACACTGCTACAACCATAGTCAAGTTTTGTGTAACTGATGCTCCCTTTTAAATTCACTTACTTTTTTTTTCAGAAAGCGCATGGCAGAGACAGAGCTGACGAAGTCTATGAATGATTTCCTTTCCAAGCTTCAGGATGATCTGAAGGAAGTCATGAACACAATGAAGTGTAACAAGTGCCAAGGGAAGCACAAGTAAGTGGCCAGCTGTCATTATCTCTTCACTGGTGCAACAGGATGTCAGCTAGACTACACAAGCAGCAGGATCATGACTTTGCAGAGTCTACATTCATTTCTCTAATCTGTGTGTGGGAGAAACTACAATCAAGCCTGATTCCTTCTGTGGGTAGTGACAACACCAAGGTTTCTATTCCCTTGATGGTCTCTGGATAGTAGTGTAGAATATTTTTTCTTGAGCTGGCCTAAATCAATAGCTTAGCTTTTAGTTGAGGTGACAAAGACTCTGAAAGACTGAGAGATACATAGTCCTTAACTTACAACCGTTTATTGAGTGACAGTTCAACATTACAATTGCACTGAAAAAAGTGACTTGCAACCGGTTCTCACACTTATAACTGTTGCAATATCCCCACAGTCAAGTGATTAAAGGTTTTGGAGAACACCAGAATGCCTGCTTCACATGAAAGATTCCTCCGCAAGCAAAGAATCTAATATCCCAAGACCTTAAATTTTCCTTTGCTTACTTAAAAAAAATACAGACACTTACTGGATAAGTTAATGGGCAAAAGTCTATAATGTATTTATGATAGTATATAGATTTGATAGCTAGACAAATACTGTGTTTCCCCGAAAATAAGACCCTGTCTTATATTTTTTTGAACCCTGAAATAAGCGCTTGGCCTTATTGCCATGCGCTCAAAAGCCCGATTGGGATTATTATCAAGGGATGTTTTATTTTGGGGGAAACAGGGTATATACTGTAAATTCAAATCTGGAAAATGCTTGATTATCAGTACCCAAACGCTACAAGTGTTCAATTATACCTCAATTACTTACTAATTTTGTTGGCCATAGGATTCAATTCCCATATTTTCATTTCCTACTGGTCCTTTATCCATTTCTAAAATATTTGGTTTAGAAAAGCTTCAGTGTTCATAAATTAAGCATAGAATGTTTTCTTTACGAACCATGCCTAGATGTTATTTGAACAACCATTTGTCTGAAATGGTACAGGGTCTCCTGTGTGAGCAGGGCGTTGGACTAGAAGACCTCCAAGATCCCTTGCAACTCTATTATTCTGTTATTTGCATTCTCCTGTAATTAAATGCACATGCATGCGTGCATGCACGCATGCACACAGACGCACACTGGAAACCACGGGATGCTGTAATATAATGAACATACTTGGTGCTTTCTAAACTCTGAAATTCTTTGCTGCAGGAGGTTTGAGATGGATCGTGACCCATTGGATGGCCGATACTGTGCAGAATGTAGTAAATTTCATGCAGCTGAGGAAGGTGACTTCTGGGCGGAATCCAGCATGCTGGGATTGAAGATCACATACTTTGCCATGATGGATGGGAAGGTTTATGACATCACAGGTAATTGAATTAACACTCTGACCATGGAAAGTGGAAACACAAAGTTGAAATTCAATTAGGTTCTTGTTCTTATTTTGTCTATGTGTGTATGTGTACATATACTCACAGAGCATGGTAAATTAGGGTAACTCCACATTTGTGCAGACTGTGAATAGCATGCATACATATATATTTGTGTTTTTTACAGTAACCACAGTGGCAGTGGCACTGTGGTGATCCAATAAAGGACTACAGAGCAATGAGAGAGGAGAATGGTGTCTGTTAGGGAACCTAGCCTAACAGAAAAGTCTGCTTATACAAAAAATGTATTTAACTTTTGTTTCAGATATTTTGCTTAAATATAATATAAATAATATAAAGTTCAGATCAAATGCATAAAGTGTCTTAAAGAATGTTGCTTTCTGCTCAGTTTTCAACAGGACACAATGAAGCCTTAAAGAGAGGCTTCTTTGGGAAGGGGAGAGAAAGCATGTGAGAGAGAGGTTAGCTTGATGAAGGACATCTTGACCCAATAAAAAACAAATACCTTGGTGTGAAAATTTTCAGGCAGGTGGGAGTTCAGGGGGAGGAATTACTGATCAGTAAAGGAAAATTGGGTTATAATGGCATAGCTTGATAAAAATATGAAACCTATATGTAGCTGCTATGAAAAAGGCAAATGTGATGCTGTGGGCATCGGAAAATTAATCAAGTAGTATCTTTGTGCCTTCATACAAATCAATGGTGCAATTACACTCAAAGGTACATCGTGCTATATTTCAACTCATGAGTTTTAATCAGTGAGCTTAGCTTCCAAAGATGTAGTAATGGCCACCAACATGGAAGCTTTCACAGAAGTGAAGTGAACCTTAGTGGGAGAGTATCATTGAGAGGAGAAGGAAAGGGGAGGGCTGTGGTTACCTGGGAGATGAGAAAAGATTGCAGGGAGAGAGGAGTTGCACTAAGAGTGTGAGCGGCTGGCAGGAGAAGTGAGGTGAAGTGGAGACCCTGAGGACTCTAGTTTTTATTTCCCTACGAACTTAATTCTACAGCTGTTTTCTGTTACCCAGCCCACCCAAAAAATATTTTGATCCTGCTAACAATAAGAACATATGCAATTGAAATCTTTTGAGAAATAACCGAGATAGAAGTGTTTATTTAGATAGAACCCACATAGGCAGTGGTGGGATCCTGTCGGTTTAACAACTGGTTCAGTGATCATGCGTTTTGTAAAGCTGCGCGTGTGTGCAGTTTTACGAAAACTTACCTTCCGCGTTATTGCTGAGGAGTAACACAGCTGAGGCACAGCAATCTGCTCTGCTGCGCGAATCAACTGAGAAGATATAGGTCAGTAAAGTGCAGGGGTGGGCAGGCGTTCCCACCTGATTGTTGGAGCAAACCGGTTCGCTCCCAGCTGATCGTCGGAGCTACCGGTTCGCCGGAACCGGTAGAATCCCACCCCTGCACATCAGAGGTGGGTTTCAGCAGGTTCTAATCAGTTCTGGAGAACCAGTAGTGGAAATTTTGAATAGGTTGGAGAACCGGTAGTAAAAATTCTGACTGGCCCCACCCCATCTATTCTCTGCCTCCCAAGTCCCAGCTGATCGGAAATGGGGATTTTGCAGTAACCTTCCCCTGGAGTGGGGTGGGAATGGAGATTTTACAGTATCCTTCCCCTGCCATGTCCACCAAGCCACACCACACCCACCAGGCCATGCCCACAGAACCAGTAGTAAAAATTTTTGAAACCCACCACCGCTGCACATAGGTAGGATTTAAAAATACTTTTAGAAAATAGTCTCTTTCAGAGGATCAGGCAAATGGATGGAAGATAAGACTGTCAATGGCCAATGTCCTACCTGTGAACTTCTCACTGTTAACCGATTGGCCCCTTTGGAAAACAGAAGGGTGAACTAGATGGAATCCTGATCTGAGCCAGAACGCTGTTCTTTTCCCCACTTAAACACCCAGAAAAACCTATGCTATGAAAACACAAGAGATCGCATCGTGTTTTCTTCTGAGAAGGGAATCCTATTTTTAATATCAAAACTAAAACATTAGCCCTTAAAAGTGCCATGTGAATGATAAATCATCCTACTGCAAAGGCTGAGAAATGCTGTCTAGGAAGAAAAATGAGATTTCTAAGGACATTCCTGTCTGTTTTGTGAGGCAGATCTGGGTCAGGAACCGATAGGTGATTTTTTTTCTTCTTCTTCTGATATGCAGAATGGGCTGGTTGCCAACGAGTGGGAATCTCTCCAGATACGCATCGAGTTCCCTATCACATCTCTTTTGGATCAAGAGGCTCTGGAGGACGCCAGAGGTTAGTGTGGAATTATGTTGTTGGTTTCTTCATAATAAATGCTTGGTTCTAATGGAGAACTGAAATCTAGGGATTTTCGGTATATATCTCATGTAGGCTGCCTCAGTTTGTGGAGAGATCTGTTTGATCTTTTTTTCCCATTTGTGCAGGCACATGTTTAGTGGTTAAGGCACCAGGCTAGAATCTGAGACACCATGAATTGTAGTCCAACCTTAGTCATGAAAGCCAGCTGGGTGATGACTTGGGGCCGGTCAGTCTCTCTCAGCCCAACCCACCTCACAGGGAAAGGAGAAAATAGGAGGAAGAAGGAGCGTTAGATACATTTGCCTCCTTGTTTATTAAAAAATAATAAAGACGGAATATTTAAATCAATAGTCCACAATTAGCCTTGTAGTAGTAGTAGTGTTAAACACATATGTGCAGCCCTATACCTGATTGGTTGTTAATTCCAAACTAACAAAAGCTTGTAACTTTCTTTGTGTTGGGTCTCATTTTCCTCCTTTTTTAAAAGAGAGTCAGACCAGGAGGATTTTCACTACAGAGGCCAGATTCTGTCTTGTCTCTTTATACTTCTGCATGAGAGACCTTTATACTTAAAGCAATAAGCTGATAAGAGAGTGAAACTCAGTTTATAGAACTTATATTCCTGGGGCTTAAAGCAGTACAGTACGCTGGTAAGAGTGTGGAATAGCCTTGTCTGTGATAGAATTGTAAAGGTGAGAAAAGCCATGTGATTGAGAGTGAGTTGGGCAGCTATATAAATTTTCTTAAATAAATAAATAAATAAATAAAATTTAGTATTTATAATACTAGGAAAATAGATTCCTTTTCTTCCAGGGATGAATAGTGCCAAATTCTGAAGTTTGCCTTCCGCTGTGTAGTTTAGCATAAAGCCAAATGTATATCTCCGCTGAAATCCAGTTTGGGAATCTGATGATTTATTTGTTCTTTCCATTTGTTCTTCCTCCCCTCCCCCACCCCGAAAAGAGCTGCTTCAGACAGTAGCCCAGCTTCTGCTGCAGAACTACAGGACTTCTTCAACCGTATCTTCCAAGGGAATCCCGGGCAGATGCCAAACGGGAACTTTTTCGGCACCCCTCAGCCCCCAGCCCCTGGGAATGCGTCGACGCCTCCTGCCTCTTCTTCAAAAGTAGACAGTAGCTTCCAGAAGAGCGATTCGAAGCAGAAACGGCGGAAAAAAGTGCGACGCCCCTTTCAGCGCTAAGGACCTGTCTGAACAGGAGGGAAATCTCCCTGGTTTTTCATCAGGTAGCAAAAGGGCTGTTTTAAAAATTGAAAAAACAGTATTCTTGAGAAGAGATAAGCCTCCAGGCTCCTCTGGAACTCATTTATAACCCTGTAACTTCCAGTTGGAACAAAATATTCTCCCGTGCAGTCGTTAGTACGGATCCTGTGATACCAAAGAACTCCTTTGGATATTTTCCTGAAAGCACTTAACGAAAATAAGGTGTGGATAATATTGAGCCTTTAAGCATCCAATCATATGCTTTTATAATTGTCTAGCGCTCCTTCTCGGGCGGGGCTACAGCTTCCACCAGTTATTTTAGTTGATTGTTACTCTTGTCCACACTAAAGGCTTGGCCTGGAAATCTCTCTTGTTTCATTCCAAGGCTTTGAAGAAAAATAAAAAGGTAGAGGATGGCTTAGCGCCCAGGGAAGGCGTGGTTTGCCTGCGATAACTTTTAGAGTGGACAGGAAAGGGGAGACCCTATTCAGCAACTGTCTTCTCATCCCATCCTGGGAGTTCTGCCCCTAGATTAAATGGTGAGAGGAGAGCTACTCCCTGCCTGGAATTTCCTTGTGTAAAATGTTAATTAATTGCTTGCCATGCAAAGGAATTCATCTGGATTAATACTTTTAGTAAAAAGGCCAGGGGAAATGAAGATGCACCCCAGTTATTGTTACTTATCGCTCAGGATTATGCCAAGTCAGCTTCTCCTTCTTTACGGAGACCCGAATGTTGCCCAACTCCATTGCAAGACTACTGAGAGGAGGTGTTTTGCACTACCAAGCGATTAAAGAGCTCCTGGCTCTGGAGGTAAAAATGACTGTTGTGTTCCCGATGTTCTAAGGTGCTTGGTTTGCTCTTCCTGGATCCTAGCAAGTACATACTGTCTGTCTACACTGGCCTAAGACTGTGGTCAAGTCAATTATGATATGGGTGTGTTAGGTGACAGTTTTAGCACGGATGGCTAGCTCTACAATTGTTCAACCTCTTTTATAGAAGGTTACTTTTTTAAAAGTTCAAATTTGTATGTATATACATATATTTAATACAATGTGTATTATCCTTTCTATAAATACGTATCAATGCCTTGGAGAGGCTGGCCTACCGTTTCATTCTTAGCCCATGCACTGTTGCACATGGGACAATATTATATATTTGAGGAATTCAACCTTTAAAGATGTAATTTAGCCAGGGGTGAAATCTAAAAATTTTTGCTACCGGTTCTGTGGGCGTGGCTTAATTAGTGGGCAGGGCTTGGTGGTATGGTGACTGGGAGGGTGTGGCTTGTTGGTCAGGTGGGTGTGGCCAAGTCAATGTCACTTCTTTGCCCTTTTTTAACCTACAAAACACAACATAACACAACTGGCTCACCCACAATATAAAAGCAGCTGTGCTGGACCCAAAATGGCCCCTGCAACAAGCAGGAACCTCACACAGCCACAAAAAGCCCAAACAACCAACTTTCACACTTTACACACACACAACACAACACAACACAACTGGCTCACCCACAATGTAAAAGCAGCTGTGCTAGACCCAAAATGGCCCCTGCAACAAGCAGGAACCACACACAGCCACAAAAAGCCCAAAAAAACAACTTTCACACTTTACACACACAAAATTCCACATACAGCTTTGTGAGATTTTGTGTGTTTGTGTAGTTAGAGTGAAACACTACAGAAACACACTAAATCTCAGAAAGCTGCACAAATATTATTTTATTTTATTTTATTTTTATTTTTATATAAAAGCAGCTAAATTTAAAATTTCCTAAACTTTAAATGGCTAGGTCTAAAAAAAGAACAACTAAAAAAAACCCCAATTAACTATTTCTTTAAAGCTCCCAAAGGGGAAAAAAACTTACCAACAAAACAGGGGTCTCCAACCTTGGCAACTTTAAGACTTGTAGACTTCAACTCCCAGAATTCCTCAGCCAGCTTTGTTTTGCTGGCTGAGGAATTCTGGGAGTTGAAGTTCACAACTCCCTGCCTTCTTGATTGCAGGCAGGGAGATTCAGTTGCTTGCTGATGCAATAGATTGCAGGGATTACAGGAGGGCATTGTGACCAGCAGCTAAGGTAAGCAAGCTGAGGGGGGGACGGGAGGGATTTTTGCTACGAGCCATTTAAAAGGAAAAAAGTTTTTTCTTTTACATGGCTCTGGCGATCCAAGCAGAGTTGCCTGATTAGCAAGCAACTCAGCTGTGATCGTCAGAGCTTGGCTGGTCAGAGCCATTTAAAAGAAAAAAAAGGCTCTGATGATTGCGCGGCTCAGCTGGGCACGGGGGGCAGGGGCAGGGATTTTTGCTACCGGTTCTCTGAACTGCCCGCCACCATCGCTACCTACTCGTCCAAGCCGGTCTGAACCGGGAGCATTTCACCCCTGAATTTAGCCCTTCCTTTCTTTTATTATGGAAACAGCTAGGTATTTGTATTGCTAGTCCTGTGGGTTCCCAGACACTCCATTGAGGGGTGTTAGGGTACAGGGCCTACAGTTATCTCCTTCCTGCCACAACTACTTCCTCACTGTTCTGCCTAGAGAGCGATCATGTGAGCCGTATATTTATTTGCTTCTCCTTTGCATTATTAGATCATGACAAATCCTGCTAGATCAGCCCAGTTGTGACATCTTACTTGACTTTCTTACCAATAAAGGAGAATATAGCTCAGGGTTGAAATGAGGAGTCCTTGGTGCTCTTTGAGCTTGCTTGTTTTCTTGCAGATGTTTCATTACTCTAACTAGGTAATATCATCAGTGCTAGTAAGGAAATGCTGTTTGCTGTCAGTTTATATTCTGCTGTCTGTGTGGATGGGGGTGGTCTTGTTTGGGCTGTTTACTGATGGCTGTGTGGCAGTTTCTTGATTGGGGTATTGCAGGGGTGAAATCCAGCAGGTTCTGACAGGTTCTGGAGAACCAGTAGCGGAAATTTTGAGTAGTTCGGAGAACTGGCAGATGCCACCTCTGGCTGGCCCCAGAGTGGGGTGAGAATGGAGATTTTGCAATATCCTTCCCACAGGAGTGGGGAGGGAATGGGGATTTTGCAGTATCCTTCCCCTGCCACGCCCATCAAGCCACACCACACCAAGCCACGCCCACAGAACCAGTAGTAAAAAAAATTAGATTTCTCCACTGGGATACTGCTTACTTGATTGTTGGTCTGAAGTTGGAAGTTGATGCCCCCACCCACACAGACAGGGCAAGCCACCAGAATATAAACTGACAGCAAACAGCATTTCCTTACTAGCACTGATGATGTTACCTAGTTTGGGGAATGAAACATCTGCAAGAAAACAAGCAAGCTCAGAGAGCGCCAAGGACCCCCGACTCTCTTGCATTAGCTGCCCTTCTTCAGAATGATTTGCTCAGTTAATGACAGAGTTGCTTCTCCTGAACCTAGCTAAGGCTGACTTTTCCCATTCATGTGGCTCTTTCGTTGCCTTGGTGGAGGGATCTATTACTTTCAGCACCTAAATGGGCCCCTGACTCAAACAAAGTGATTCAGGATGTCATGTAAAAAGTCAGCCATCAAGAGAAACCAACATAATACATTAAAAGTAAACCAAAACATAAGATGGCAACCGGGCTGAAATATACAGGTAGTCCTCAACTTACAACAGTTCATTTAGTGACTGTTCAAAGTTACAACAGCACTGAAAAAAGTGATGTATGACCATTTTTCACACTTAACAACTGTTGCAGCACCCCATAGTCACATGAGCAATATTCAGATGCTCGGCAACTGATTAATATTTATGATGGCTGCGGTGTCCCTGGGTCATGCGATTTCCATTTGCGACCTTCTGTCACGTAAAGTCAATTGGGAAACCCATTTCACTTAACAGCCGTGTTACTAACTTAACAACTGCAGTGATTCACTCAACAACTGAGGCAAGTAGGGGGTAAAATGTGGCAAAACTCACTTAAGAAACATTTTACTTAGCAACAAAAATTTTGCCTCAATTGTGGTCGTAAGTCGATGGCTACCTGTACTGCAACCAGCAATCGGGACACCATTCATGCTGGAAGAAAGCCTGAAAATGCTGGGAGGAAGGGCCAATTATTGCCTGATTTTTAGACTGATTTTTCAAAGGCCTGCCAGGTCAGGATCAATCATGTGTCAGAGGGCAGATTGTTTCAAACGACAGGGGCTGCTACCAAAAAGTCATTCCTCCAAGGTCAAATGATGTGGTATTGCCTCAGTGAGAGGACTGGGCCTGTGCCCTCTACTGGGGCAGGTGGGATGGGCAGATAGTCTAGGGCAGGGGTCGGCAACCTTAAATACTCAAAGAGCCACAAAGGTCCTAACGGGAAGCCCCCGTTCAATTCTGGAGCTAACCGGAAGTCTGGTTCTCCCATCATAGTCTCCTCCTAGCACGGCGTCCTTTTTCCTCTATCTGTCCTAACCGAAAGCCCTATCAATTGTGGAGCCGACCAGCAATAGGGAGCTGCAGCAGAGGGATGAAAGAGCCACATGCGACTCCAGAGCCGTAGATTACTGACCCCTGGTTTAGGGAAGGAGGCAGTCCTGCAAATAACCCTGTCCTGGGCCACATGGGGCTTTAGATAGATAAGCAGCACATTGAATTATCCCAGAAGCTTGAGACCCAGTGTATCTCATAGAGATGTCACCTGGATATAAGGAAGAACATCCATAACTAACTATCCACGCTGCTGGATTCTGGATCAATTCAAGCATCTGGATGGTCTTCAAGGGAAGCCCCTTGAAGACCATAAAATGTGTTGCTAAACGACGAAGGCGTGAATGATTGAGCAAGACCCTCCAGGAACAGAGGCAATTGGCACACAAGTCAAAATTGTGCAACCTAACTGCAACCCTGAAAGATGTATTTTCTGCATTTGCAGAAGTCCAAAGAATGCTAGAATTGCAATTATGCAAAACTGTTTGCATATGCTCTGTACAGAGGTCTGCTCTCTCATTATCAGTTGCCAATATGAAAAACTGAGGATGATGATATCTCATAGCTTATACAGTACATACCATAATCGTATATAATCCATCAGCTGCTGTTGAACTCTTTAACAATATAAATCGGTTGTAGCCATTTTTTGCCCTTGTTTCGGCAAAGTGGAACACAGCAGTTTCTTTTAAAACAGTATAAATGGCAGTATAAAGGTATCCATTCTTTTCTCCCTGCCTGGCATCCAGGAAGAGTACATGGCTTAATGCAATATGAGAATGGGAAGTTAGCTAATTTTTCTCCCTGGGGCAAAACGCTGTATAGATCAGCAAACAATTTTCTTGCCAATTAAGGAAGGGAGAAAAATCATCTGTGCACCAATTGATTTCTCCGATGTGTTTTTAGAATTAATTGCACACTCCCTGCTATCTGGATCATGAATGAATGGATCCACCAGCAAACTGTTTGCCTTTTTCCTAGAAGTTAGCTTTCATTAGGAAATAAAAGAAACACATTTTTTATTTAGCAGCTGGTTTTCTTTGTCCCTAACCTAGCTCAGTCCATTCTGAATTTTTTAAATTAAAGATTTAAACTGTCACAAAACAGTGACAGAGGAAATAACAGTGCCAGTTATTTCCTCTGCTTATTTAGTAAATAAATGATTTTTGATATGTGCACACCACTGGTTTTCCAGAAGGTGGCGGTCTAAAACTATAACTATGGCAAAAGAAAACTGCAGGTTAGCTGTTGGGTAAGTCCAAGCTGTTTTCCTGTATCAAATGTTTAAAACAGCCTGTTAAATTTATGAATATTTTAATTAATAAATATTCTGCCTCGTTGTGATGCTCCCAACAAAACCTAACAAAGATTTTTTTTTTTAATAAGACACAAAAGTGAATTAAAATACCAGAGAGCCAATAATAGAATGGCGGCATCACCTGATAAACATTTCCATTTCAATTTACCTTCTCAGAACGGAAGTATCGTTGGACTAGCTTTTATTCAAACCTTAAACTTCAGAAAGATTGTGAGTCCCTGTGCATATTGCACTTAGGGATACACTATCATTTGTGTAGAGAGCGTCAAAACAGACCTACTTAAAGACATTTTAATGGAATTTTTATTGATGAGAATGACCCTGAATAAAAGCTTACTCTGTGTGTGTGTGTGTAGA